ATTGTCAAGGGACGGAGGGAGTAATAATGTACAAGTGGAGTAGATAAAAAGATGATATGATAAGTTATTAATGAATTATTAAAAAGATGATATGATAGAAAAAATAATGAAAAAATTATTATTATTTATTAAAATTAGGATAATAAAATAATGAATAAATAAAATTATTTACTATAAATAGATTGTATATAAGTATAGATTGTACTCCCTCCGTCCAGTTAGAAAGTATACATATTTCTATTTTGGGACGTCCAATTACAAAGTAAATATTTCATTAAATACCTTACTTTTTTCCACAAATACTCTTACTTTACATCACATCATTACTTTTACACCAAAAAAATATAAGAGCAAAAATGTCATTACACTACTTTTAACTACCCACTATAATTAAAATATTATTATTTTTTAAACACCGTGCCAAAAATAATTGTATACTTTATGAGTGGACGGAGGGAGTATATACATTTAACAAACATCCAAAAAAAATCTGATATAATTATAACGGATGAAAAGAATAATATTTATTGAGCAAAAGATGAATTTGCAAACACATTTTACATTTATATGCCAAACATGCATAATCAAAGAAAAAACATCATATCGAATGATTTTATAAATAAAATTAAAATAGTTACGTAACGAAACTACGCGATGTCAAGCTCAACAAAGTTGTTGTATTACACATAGATTCAAGCGTTTGTTTGGTTTGTTCCTCGGATCAAAATTTTGTACTATTTAATTCGTACGATTTTTAATAGAAATATTATTATTATTTTGTTATAAAATATCATAATAAATATTATTTAAACTAATATTCAAATTCGAACCAAATAGACCTTATTGTTACATAATTGTGGGATCTTAAATCATTGATATGTTTCATAACAACTAGAAAAGTCTCTTGATTGAATCCATATGAACTTAATCACTAAGCTACTTTGATTAGAATTTTGATTTGATATATTTATATAATAAATTGTAAAGATGATGTGAAATTTAAAAAAAAAAAAAAGAAATCAATGTAAAAAAATTTGAACCTAGAATGAATTGACATGTTTTTTTTTTTTTTTTTTTTTTTTTTTAACTTGTCCCAATATTTTTATAAATTTTCCTTCATTCATATATTTTATTTTTATTTTTACTAATCTAAATAAAATTTAAAAAAATTATTTCAAATAAACACATAAGAACAAGACAGATGCCAAAATAAAAATAATTAAAATTATATACAACTTTTTTTTTAAAAAAAAAAAAAAAGCCAAAAATAAATACAAAAATATTGATATGAAAAAAAGTATAAGACACTAATAATTTTAACTTTTACTAGATTTTAAAAGATCACTATCTAATGTTTTATTCTTTTTAATTTTAATAATTTTAGATAAAATGAACTTCCATCTCAACTAACCTTTTGTTTTCTTATAATAAATTAAAAAAATAATATTTTATTATTAGTAAAAATATGTAAGTTGATTTCTATAATTTTGCTTTTGAGAGTACAAATAAAATAAATATTTTTATAAAAATTAAAGATATTTTGATATTTAAATATAATTATTTTTATTATAATTTAAAATAGATAATTTTGAATTGGACATATAAAAATAGTAAAATAATACAGTAAATTGAAACGGAAGAAGTATTATTTAATAATCTAGTTATTTTATACTATATAATATTTTGTTAAGCATCTAATTAGTTTTTTCTTGACAAGATTCTCTTCAACTAAGGAACAAAATTAGGAAAGAGGACTCAAATTCTCAATCATTTGTCACTCTATAATATATATATATATATATAAGTCATACTTACAACTTAATTAAAAGCAGCAGCACCACTGAAAAAGGGTTCTAATTCCCAACTTGCATAATTAATGCAAACTTTGATCATTAAATAATAATAATAATAATAATAATAATAATAATAAACAATCAATTCCACCGCCAATAATCTATATTTAGGAAAGAGAAAGAGTAACCTTTAATTAAAAAATCGTGTTTGGCCCTAAAAAAAATATATATTCAAAATCTTTCGGGCTTTGCTTAATCCGACACACTAATGAACCAGGCCGTGTCCGAGTTCATAAAGGTCGGACCATCGATCCGATCAAATTTTAAAATTAATATTCCATCCATCCCGTAACAAAATATCTATTATTCTATTTTAGTCTGTACCATAACAAAATATCTATTTTATTTTTTTTTAGTAATTGTACTATCTACCTAACGTTACGAATACTCTTAAAACTTACAATATATTACACAAATATCATTACATTTATATCACACATACTAATAAGGTTATTTTAGTCATTTCTACTTTATTCCTACTATATTTCAATATAATACTAATATTTCTAAAATTACGTACAAAAAATTAATTTTTAAAATAAAAACAATAATCAAAACGTAGTTTGGTAGTTAAGTTTTTGGCTTGCCATCCCCAACTCCAATCCCTTGAATACTTCACCAATCAAATTACAATATATACTACATTCGTCCTAAAAGAGTCGTTGTGGCAGAGTAAAAAGTAGAATTTAAATGTCTAAAATATCTTTGTTTTTTTGAAGAGTTTTAAAAAATAAGTTAGAATAATAATTATCAGTAGTATTTGAAAAGTAGAAATAATTTTATTGTAAAATAAAAAATCATAACAATTATTTTGGGACGAACAAAAATAGAAAAACAAGATAATTTTTTTGAAACGGAGAAAGTATCATTTATTTTTCATTTTAAATCATTACATTTCCGTCTGCACCTATTATTTCCAGGCACCTCAAAATTCAAAATAATGGCTCGAGCTCGTAGGCTCAAATTCAACATTGAGATCAACTCATAAGGCTCAAAGTCAAATTCGAGTTTGGTTCGAATTATATATATATTTGATATATTTTTTTTAACATATAAATTAAATATATTTTATTTTATTTATAATTTATTATATTCTGTCTCCGTCCTGCACAAAAGCTCACGATGTTATTGTATTAAAAATATTTTTATAATTTTATAATTTTTTATACAAACACCGTATTAGTATTAAAAGACACTAATTGAAGTATGTGCCCAATTTTTTTTTTTAATTTGTACTATATTTCGATATACTAATTAATTTTCAAATATTAACACGCAAAAATAAATAAGACCCTTAATACCGGACGGAGATGGTAAAATATTCAAATTTTACTAATAGATACAATTTTTAATATAAAAAATTATATATATATATTCATATATAAAATAATATAATTTGAGCTACTTGCAAATTGAACTCGAGCTCAACTCGTTCATAGAAAATAATAACTTTCGAACTTGAACTCAGACTTATTTATCTCTAAAAACAAACAACTGAAATCGAATTGTTAACTATCCGAATCGAGTTTGACTCGAAAGCTACTCAGTTTGTTCAACAGCTCTAGCTACAATTGAATTCGAACATATATTCGTTCTAACATAAACTTTGAGCACATAATTTCAATTGAATTAGTTAATACAAAATGTCTTGTGTTAACATAAATCGTATGATGTCGGATTATTTTTTATGTGCTATCATTTGAACTAACAAGCATACACTAACCAGACTCAGGAAAAAAATATCAAAATCCAAAAACACACACATATATATATATATATAATATAAGTTAAACCAAACAAGCCCTTAATTGTAATCAAGACAGAGAAACCCAAGGAGAAGCAAACCATGTGAGGTTGTGACGCAGAGACAATATAAAATATAAATATAAAATCTGGAAATAGAGATTACCTTACTGAACATATCCCTACAAATTCGTAACAAATTATTGCCAACAATAACTCCAACGAAGAATCATCCCAGAAATTCATGTGCTGCTTGCTACTTCCCCCAACAAATACTCCACCCTACAAAATCAACAAATCTTTACAACTGCTTATCAATATAAAGCAAATTTAAATCCCATTTATCAACAATTTCTTTAATAAAAAATCACATCAAAATACATAATTTATTTAAATTATTACACTCTAAATCAATTTATATCATGTCAAACACCTAACTCGTTTGCAGAAAGTTTTAACACTATTACATCAAATAAATATTCTCTTACAAAATATAACGTCACATTCTCACAAACTTCTAAAAATGTTATATAAACACCCCTAATTTCTTGCCACTTTTTAAACAAATTCAAAATTTCAAAATACTTCAAAAAAAATAAAATAAAATAAAATGTAATAATGCACCCAAAGTACTTCTACCTTAATTCAAACGTAAATAAATTTGCACCCTCCAAATATGATACAGCTATGTAACCACTTGCAATTTATTCATAGTTGATTCATTGTCACACTTCCCAATAGGTAAAAAGCAGGTAAAAATAACAGAAAAGGGCACTTCAATCCTTGTCAAGAGGTCAAAACATTGCTTCATATGAACAAAAGGGAAGATAATATTGCAGCTACATAACCAAAGTGTGTGTCATTTTCAAATGCAAACAATAATTGGATAAAAATTAAATAAAACAAAAACAATAAATGAAAAGAATTAGGTGAAATGTCTATACTTTAAAGTCCCCATAGAAGCAAATCAAAACAGAACCATTAAAGAAATTTGAGATTATTGAGGCAGAAGAGCATATTCTCAGTGGCTTTGAATTTGTATGACATCAAACCTGACCTCAAAGGCTCAAACCCAAATAAAAAACTAACTCCAATAAAATAAAATAAAACAATAATAGCATATAAAAATTTGACCTTGTGTGTGATTTCATATTATCATGCGTATAGTGTTATAATATTGCAGCAAAGGGAATCAAAATCCTTCTGGGAATCATCTCTCACATAACGACAGATAAGATTTCATGTTCATTTCCAGACTTGCTGTATAAATATAAATTGTCCCAAAACAGAGGCAGGCAGGCAGCACAAAATTAAAGATACATACCTGTCGTCCAATGCAGTACCCTCCATTGATTCCATAATCCAAAGCTCTGTGTTTCATGAAGTAGCTAGGCTGCAGAAAAAGAAATGGAGGGTGGAGATATTTTTGGAGGAGGTATGAGCACACGGTTCAGCAGTTCAAATGTGTGGAGGAACACAGGGATGGAAGTGTTTTCAAGGTCATCTATGGAGGACAATGACGAAGAGGCGCTGAAGTGGGCAGCACTGGAGAAACTCCCGACCAATCTTCGCATTACAAGAGGTATACTCACCGGCGAAGAGGGGAAGCCGCGGGAGGTGGATATAAGGAGCCTTGGATTGGTGGAAAGGAGGAATCTTGTGGAGAGGCTGATGAAGATTGCTGAGGAAGGCAATGAGAGGTTCCTCCTAAAGCTCAAGGAACGAATTCAGAGGTGTTTATCTAATATATACGTACATAGATAGATACATATAAACATGCTGCATTTGATAGAGAGTGGTTTAATTGATGTTGAGACTAACCTTTGGTAAACATCAGAGTCGGACTTGATCTTCCTAAGATCGAGGTGAGGTTCGAGCACTTGAACATCGATGCAGAAGCTTACGTTGGCGGAAGAGCTCTGCCAACTGTGTTCAATTTCATAGTGAACATCCTTGAGGTGATTCACCACACACAAAAACATTAATGGAAGATAATTGAACATAAATGTTATGGATTGGAATGTCTCTCTTACCTTATTGATTAATCGAGCAGGGATTTCTGAGTTACCTTCGAATTCTTCCAAGTCGGAAGAAGCCGTTTCCAATCCTTCATGATCTCAGTGGAATCATCAAGCCTGGCAGGTTAGCAGCACACAGAAATTAGTTGTCCTAACTTGAAAAAAAAAAAACTTTTGATCCATGATACACATGATGTTTATGGATAATAGCAAAGAATCAATCTTTCCCTATCTTTTTCAGAATGACGCTGCTTTTGGGGCCACCGAGCTCTGGAAAGACAACGTTGCTGTTAGCCTTGGCCGGAAAACTCGATCCAGAGTTAAAGGTAAAAAAAATCTATAAGAGATCCTTCTCAGGCAATCAGAATGTCACAGTAAAGATAAGCAACCATTTCTATATCTGAAATTGCTGGCAGGTTTCAGGGAGAGTAACTTACAACGGCCACGAGATGCACGAGTTTGTACCCCAGAGGACGTCAGCTTACATAAGTCAGCATGACCTGCACATAGGTGAGATGACTGTAAGAGAAACACTGGCCTTTTCAGCAAGATGTCAAGGAGTCGGGGCACGATATGGTTAGTAAAAATTTCATTCTTTCAATCTGTTGAAGTAAAGCCATAGCTAATCAGATTACCATAAAATCATTGGTTCATTTAAACGTACAGAAATGCTGGCTGAACTTTCGAGGAGAGAAAAGGAAGCAAACATTAAGCCTGACCCCGATATTGATATGTTCATGAAGGTTCGTCTGACCACCTGACTGCCAATCTTACAATTCATCTTATATTCCATCAGTTCCTAGCCAAGTCAATGCATTGTCTTCATTCTGTGTGCAGGCATCATCAATCGAAGGTCAGGAAGAAAGCGTTGTAACAGATTATATACTCAAGGTAATGACTTACTCAATAGACATTGTCATATGTGGACATTCAAATCACTCTGTATCTTTCATGACAGATCTTGGGGCTTGAGGTATGTGCGGATACTTTGGTTGGTGATGAAATGGTTCGCGGGATTTCTGGTGGTCAGAAGAAGAGACTTACAACAGGTATAATGTTTAAGCCTTAGTGATCGGTCATGCATGGAACTAGAGAACTTGTGAGAATATATGATATAATTTCAATGTGATTCAGGGGAAATGATGGTTGGACCTGCTAGAGCATTGTTTATGGATGAAATATCAACTGGTTTGGACAGCTCGACAACTTTTCAGATAGTAAATTCGATAAGGCAATCCATCCACATTCTACAAGGAACAGCAATTATCTCCCTCCTGCAGCCTGCACCAGAAACATATGACTTATTTGATGATATAGTCCTTTTGTCTGATGGTCAGATAGTCTACCAAGGGCCCCGTGAAAATGTGCTGGAGTTCTTCGAGCACATGGGATTCAGATGTCCTGAGAGGAAAGGTGTAGCAGACTTTCTGCAAGAGGTAAGCTCAACATGCTTTCCCACCAATTGCCTCTTATGTGTTAACATTAAAAGAGCAAATATGAAATGAACCGCAACCATTCAGGTAACATCAAAGAAGGATCAAGAACAATATTGGATGCACAGAGATGAACCTTACAGCTATGTTTCCGTCAATGAATTCTCAGAAGCATTTTTATCTTTCCATGTTGGACGCAAGCTTGGAGATGAGCTTGCTGCTCCTTTCGACAAGAAAAAGAGTCACCCTGATGCCCTGACAACAGACAAATATGGTGTTAGCAAAAAAGAACTCCTTAAAGCCTGCGTAGCTAGAGAATTCCTGCTGATGAAGAGGAACTCGTTCGTTTACGTATTCAAGATGATGCAAGTAAGATGCTCACACAAGAATTTGAGACCCTCAATTAACAATGTCATGCAAGATTCATGTTTCAGCTAGCTGCTATTCTTTTCTTTCTTTTTTCAGCTAATCCTAATGGCTAGCCTATCCATGACGGTATTTCTAAGGACAGAAATGCATAAGAGAACTGAAGCAGACGGTGGGATTTACATGGGTGCTCTATTTTTTGCCCTTCTAATAGTTATGTTCAACGGCTTCTCGGAGCTTGCTCTCAGTATTTTGAAGCTTCCAGTCTTTTACAAGCAACGGGACCTTCTTTTCTTCCCTCCATGGGCGTATTCATTGCCTTCATGGGTCCTTAAGATTCCTGTTACACTAGCGGAAGTCATTGTTTGGTTGGTGTTAACTTATTATACCACGGGATATGATTCAGATCCCGAAAGGTATTGCATGTTCTAATTCTCAAAAAGTCCAAGAATCACCACTCCTTTTGTCTCCTAAGATAATCTCTCATTTGTGGCTTTCAGGTTTTTCAGGCAACTCCTCCTGTTCATATGTATCCACCAAATGTCATCCGGGCTGTTTCGTCTAGTGGCAGCTCTAGGAAGAAACGTCATAGTTGCAAACACATTTGGATCATGTGCAATGCTCACTATATTTGTCTTGGGTGGATTCATTTTATCACGAGGTATAGCAATAACTATATAAAGACCTTAAACACATGCAGTGCTATGCTATTTGTCATGAAATAAATCAATAAGCAACGGCTACTTGTCTATCAGATGATGTCAAAGCATGGTGGATTTGGGGATATTGGTTCTCACCTTTGATGTATGCACAGAACGCCATTGCAGTAAATGAGTTTCTTGGAAAGAGTTGGAACTTTGTAAGAATCTATTTGACATATACTCTTGACACAACTAAGTTAAGCTAAACTAACCTCAATGCATTGCAGGTTCCACCTGGCTCAACAGAAACATTAGGTAAGTCAGTTTTAAAAGCTCGAGGGATCTTCCCAGAAGCACGATGGTATTGGATAGGAGTAGGGGCACTCATCGGATATACGTTCCTATTCAATTACCTAGTGACCCTGGCTTTAACTTATCTCAACCGTGAGTATGCCTTATACTGTACTAGCATGATTCAGTATAATGATCACTTCAAGAACAAAATAAGAAAAAGCTGGTTTAATGATATGCAGCGTTTGGGAAGCCTCAAACTATTCTATCAAAAGAAGCTATAGCAGAGCGACTTTCCAGCAAAAGAGAAGCTATTGAAATGTCATCAAGAGGAGGGATTTCTAGTAAGTTATCATCCTGTAATGAAGCCCCTGGTTATGACTAATCATTAATCGAAGTAGTGGGAACTAACTAAAATCGATGCATGTACAGGAAGAGAAAGCAATTCTCACAGGAGCTTATCGTCAAGAACTATGTCATCTACTGCTAATCCAAATAAGAAAAGAGGAATGATACTACCCTTTGAGCCTCTTTCGATCACATTTGATGAAATCCATTATTCAGTTGACATGCCACAGGTAAAATACTAAAATCATTTTGTTTTTGTAATGGTTAGTTGAAACTATTTAAAGCATGTTCTTGCCTGCAGGAAATGAAAGCTCAAGGGGTTCAAGAGGATCGTCTAGAGCTTTTGAAAGGTGTAACGGGTGCTTTCAGGCCAGGAGTTCTGACAGCACTGATGGGAATAAGCGGGGCTGGAAAGACTACTCTAATGGACGTATTGGCAGGTAGAAAAACAGGTGGATATATTGATGGGACAATAACAATATCAGGATACCCAAAGAAGCAAGAAACATTTGCACGCATAGCAGGATACTGTGAGCAAACAGATATCCACTCACCTCATGTCACGGTTTTTGAATCCGTAAAGTTTTCTGCATGGCTTCGCTTGCCTCCTGAAGTTGACACTGCTACTCGGAAGGTGCTTCCTGCTCATCATCAAATCGATTACAAAAGTGACTGATACATAAGTCAACTAATGTCAACAAATAAACTAAATTGCAGATGTTCATTGAAGAGGTCATGGATCTTGTCGAGCTAACACCATTGAGAGACGCACTTGTGGGCTTGCCTGGTGTGAATGGTCTTTCAACTGAGCAGCGAAAGCGATTGACCATTGCAGTTGAGCTTGTGGCCAATCCTTCTATTATATTCATGGATGAGCCAACATCTGGGCTGGATGCTAGAGCTGCTGCAATTGTAATGAGAACAGTGAGGAACACAGTTGATACAGGTCGAACTGTGGTCTGCACCATACATCAACCCAGCATCGATATCTTTGATGCCTTTGATGAGGTACGTATCCTACATCTTCAAAGTTTCATCAAACTTGTCACCTGCAAAAAACCTAAATAAGGCATGACAACTAACTGCAGCTGCTGCTGCTAAAACGAGGAGGGGAAGAAATATATGTTGGTCCTTTAGGTCGACATTCTTTTCAGCTCATTAAATACTTTGAGGTTAGTAAACATTTCAAAGCTCTTTCGAAAAGTCCCAAATCCATGCAAAATATTGAACATTCTTTTGACAGGGAATAGATGGAGTCGAGAAAATTAAAGATGGATATAATCCAGCCACATGGATGCTGGAAATAACTTCAACAGCACAAGAAGCAGCTCTAGGTATTGATTTTGCTCAGCTGTACAGAAACTCGGAACTTTACAGGTATGCTGATAGTCCTAATAATATAATTTACTAAACAAGCAAGCGTTGGAATAACAACATAGGATAAATCTTGGGAAATAATTCAGGAGAAACAAGGCCCTGATCAAGGAGCTGAGCGTACCTGCTCCAGGTACAAAAGATCTATACTTCTCAACTCCCTATTCCCAATCCTTCTGGACACAGTGCATGGCATGCCTATGGAAACAGACTTGGTCATACTGGAGAAACCCTCCATACACAGCTGTCAGGCTGCTATTTACAGTGTTCATAGCTGTGATGTTTGGAACTATATTTTGGGATCTTGGCTCCAAAAGGTTAGAATTGCATATTCATTTCCTGTGGAGCAGTCAGAAATGTTTTAAGAGTGATAGAGAACATGACAATAACTGTATGCGAAAATGCAGGAAAAGGAAGCAAGATATTTTCAATGCAATGGGCTCCATGTATGCTGCGGTTCTATTTCTTGGTGTACAAAATGCAACATCTGTCCAACCAGTTGTCGCCATTGAGAGAACAGTGTTTTACAGAGAAAGAGCGGCAGGGATGTATTCAGCATTGCCTTACGCCTTCGGACAGGTAATTCCATAATCTATGCGAACCATAAAACTATAAAAGAGAACACCTAATGCCTGATATCAATAAATCATCACCTTCTGCCAGGCCCTGGTAGAAATACCAAACCTTCTAGTTCAGACACTAACATACGGCATCATAGTGTACGCAATGGTTGGTTTCGAATGGACTGCCGCAAAGTTCTTTTGGTACCTGTTTTTCATGTACTTCACCTTGCTCTACTTCACTCTGTACGGAATGATGACTGTGGCTGTAACACCCAACCACAACATAGCCGCCATCATCTCATCTGCATTCTATTCGATATGGAACCTCTTCTCCGGATTCATCATCCCTAAACCGGTGAGCCCCCTGCAGAATTTCAACAAATGTATATATATATATATATTTTTTTATGACAACAAATGTGTATTAGTGGCATGAATTGTGGCTTACCTGTTCATTCTCTTGCAGAGAATCCCAGTGTGGTGGAGATGGTACTATTACGTCTGTCCCATTGCTTGGACATTGTATGGATTGGTTGCCTCACAGTTTGGAGACATACAAACTCAATTTGAAGAAGACGATGAAACAGTGGGAGAATTTGTAAGACAGTACTTTGGGTTCAGGCATGACTTTGTGGGATATGTGGCAGTAATCCATGTCGGGATATCTGTGCTGTTTGCCTTCACTTTTGGATTCTCTATCAGGACGTTTAACTTCCAGAAAAGATAAGAGCCCTGCACACACTTAACAAACAGAGTATTGTATACTGTATAATATATTGTTAGTAAGACCTTCAAGTACTATTGTCCTCTGTAAGCCTGTTCCAGATAGAAAAACAGAATTTGAGGCCATTCTTGGCACTCATCAAGCAATCCTCAAGACTTTACATAAAGCAATACAATAAAAGCAACCATCCTAGCAAAATGCTGTATCATAACATGTAGGTTATACAAGCACAAAATATACCCCAAATTAAAGCTGGTCAATAGTAGTAACATCTAAGTTCGAAAGACAGGGAATCCTAACCAGAGACATAATTAGCAGAATACAAGAACAAGAAGAAAGTAAAAAATGTGGTGGCGCCGCATATGTTACAACTAGAAACTACATCTCCTCTCAATGACAAGCAAGAATGGATAGATAAAGGTTGGGAAAATTAGTAACAAATTGATAGCTATGACAAACAGAGGATAAAAGAGTTTACAAGCCTTCATCGCATCACCATCTCAGTTGTTTAAGTCATTCAAGAAGCTCTGTAATTCCTTCAGCCCTTCAGCAGAAATGCTCCGGTGTACTCTTCCTCGTGGGGCGACCAAGTTGGGAGGTGGATGTGGCTGGAAGCACACAACCACAACTGATAAGTTGTCCCCACTCTTTCGTTTCAAAGCCTCATTGACGAGATCCTTGCTGCACATCACTGGATCATTGTGCTCCTGCAGCCTCCTACGAGCAAAGTCCACAGCATTTTGGCTCATGAAGACATCCCATAGCCCATCACAGCCAAGGATTAGGAACTCGTCATCTTTGGTAAGTCTTGTGCTCATGACTTCCGGGTCTGCAGTTAGGGGGCCGCCATCAGGACCTTTCAATCCTTCCATATGCCAGTCTCCTAAAGCACGGGCTACATTAAGCTGTCCATTGAGATAACCATCGTACACGTAACCACCAGAGGCTTCAATTCGTCTCTTTTCCTTCAACGAAACAGGTTTATGATCTCTTGACATCTCAATTGCTTTGCCCCGACGGGAAAGGACGGCTCTGCAATCTCCAGCATTGGCCACCACCAGTGAGCTGTGTAGAGAGATTAGATTATTAGAAACTATATTAACCAACTCTCATGGGAGAAATACTTTTTCTTGGAAGAGTCTAATTTCCTGATATTAGTAGCAAGAGAGCTTTGGATTGCAAAATTGTACAAACCAAAAACCTAAGGCTTTGTTTATTTGTGTTTTCAACACTTCTTCGCACTATGAAATCCACAGAAAAAACTTGGACAAATACAGTGCACTGACCTTCCCATTACAATAGCAGCCAAAGCAGTAGTACCAGAAGCAAGATCTGCATCCAAGGTGCAGGCTTCTGCAAAAGCAGTATCTGTCTGTAAAAATGCTGATGCAATAACTCGCTCAATATCCTGGGAGAAACCTTCACCCTCAAAAATGAACCTTGGTAAATGGTAGCCTGCAAAGTCTGCAGCATGCTTTCCTCCATGTCCATCAAACACCTGAGCCGGATTAAAGATTTGAGTTAAGGGGGGAAACACAATATATTGAGTAGCTAATTGTCTAGCAAAATAATTGACAGATTCATCAAGGGAACATCCAAAATTTTCTCAGTTCTGTTGACATTAATTTACACACTAACTTGACCATTTAACTAGCAGCATTGAGCTTCTCAAACGCATGAAACTCGAATCTACTGACATACATATACACACAGACACATAATGGCTACTCATGACAAATTTTATCTGAAGTGTTATAAGATTTATCTGACAAATAAATGAATGAATCTGAAACATTAAAAAACACAGCTAAAAAACACAGCTACGAAAAACCATGCACAATCAAAATCCAATTTAGAATGCAACAAGAAACTATAAAACATTATGTATGCATATAAAATATTTCCCAGTTGAAGAACAGTTGATTTCTTTATTCAATACTCATTTTTAAATTATTTAGTAGAGGCCTCTGCAATCAAGGAATACAGCACAAAATGTTTTCAAGACAATGTAGAAACCCATAGATTCCCTATCAAATCCAAACACTGTGGTTCTGACATCAGGTTTATTTAGATGTATTCATACTAGTTATAAGCAAACTACAGAAGAAAAAGAGACATTAAATACCAGACTATGGCCAGATCTATAGTTCAAATAATTATGCAGTCAGGAGTCGGGATTATAAACAACAGTCACAACATGTACATGGAAGCAGGAAAATAAAACATCATGGCGGTGTTAAATGGATTGAAGAGAAGATTTACCCCATAGAATGCACTAGGGCTTTCAGTTGGAATATTAAATCCATAATCATCCATCAAGTTGTCTGTATAAACATGGACATCCTCCATGCTCGAGCGAGAACCAATGTCTGCCCAAGCTCCTGACCGTAGCAGGGGCATGTATTCAGCATCATCATCACGAATAGTCGATGTTGGTTCCGTTGAGATATCTGCGGATCTCACTTTCACCTGCAAAACTCGAGTTAAATTGGAATCCAACTGGCCCATAAAAAATTTACAAATCAAGAACACATATACACCAATAGAAACCAGAAATCAAATATTGTGGTTTCATTGTTAACAATAAAATAAGCAAAGGTATCCCATGCACAGAATTATCAATTAATTATAAGAAAAGTTCACAAATAAAGGCTCCACAAATCTCTTTCCCTGCCAACTGCCAACCATTTTCAGGCAACGATGCTAAAAAAAAGTGACTACTTAAAAATGGCAGAGCAGAAAATCCGTCATAAATGAATGAAATATTTAGTTTAGAAATATAAAGTGATTGAGCACTTGCAGAGTCAAACATTCCATGACTCGTTGCTTTAACTAAGAGTGCTTTATTTTAACAATATATTCTGACACTATAACCCCATCTTGTTGCCCAACTAGCATTTAAAGTTCTGCATACAATTTAAGTGATAACAAATCTGGCATTTAAAGTTTTGCACTCAATCTCACTTTCAAACTCCCTTGCATCGATACTAAGTTAATGCCCTTTAAAACCTAGCTAATGCTCAGATTTATAGTCCCAAACAACAATAACATCATACACATGCGATTCTCGCATCTTCTAAACAACGTAGACCAGAATCGAGGAAGGAGTAAAATCAGAATTAATTACCAAAGATGGGTGTCGAACAAGGGTTCTGGTAGACAAAGGCGGCGTGCCGTCAGAGGTCACGCAGTGTCGGCAGTCCCCTCTGCCGCCCAGCGAGTTCGGAATCGGCGGGCGTCCATTGCCAGAGCTGCAATCTTCTCGGTCACCTTCCACATTGTTCATTCTAACGCTGCCTCCCTCCATTACAAATCTGTATCATTACTCCAATCGATTCGGGACTTGTGAATTCAAACCTCGAAAACAGTGAACAACAAGAAAAAAGAAAACAATTGCAATGAAACCAATCCACCCCAGTAGGGCTTTAAAATTGAGGAATCTTGGTAAGTAGGGTTCCGATTTGGGGATTAGGGTTTTATAAGGAAGGAAAATTAAGATCGAGGAAATTAATTCTACGAGTCGGTTCTGAGGAACTCTGCCGTAGAAATCTTTTAGAAATTTATTTATTTTTATTTTTAAAATTCAAAACGGTGTGACGTGTAACGGTGTCGTTTTTGGAGATGGACATGTGTACTTATTAAGGTCATTTTTTGAATTTAGAGTTTTGAATATAATTTTGCGGAGACCCAGGAGCTCAAGGCCAGACATATTTATTGTGTAGGACCCACAACATTATGTGTGTGATCGCCTCAGATCGGGTTTTGTGCACCTTCGGGTCCTGGAGCTTTGAAGAATCGATATTACTAAAATGGCCACATCAATGGCTAATTTTAGTAAGAGGAGCTATTGTTACTAAAAGTTAGTAAAAAGTTTAAATTAAAATAATTCAATGATATGAGATAAATAGGTAGCCTAACATATTTTGAATGTAAAATTAATTTTTAATATAATATTTAAAAAAGGAATGTTAGATTTGATATATTTGTAAAAAAAATTGTTAAATAGTTATATTATAATGAAATCCGGAAAATTTGGATAGAAAATAATATATATGTTGGGTTTTTTTTATTACAAATAAAATTGATCAAAATCGGTAATATAATAAAAATTATAATACGAAATAATTGTATTATAATGAAATTCATCTAATTAAAATGAATGTTTATATAAGGGTGTGTTCATTTGTAGGATTTTGTCAAAATTCTATTATTCATCCAAAATTTTCTCTCAAAAAATATCAAATTAAACACCTATTTTTTATTTTTTATATTATACTAAAAATTAATTTTATATTCAAAACCTCACATCAACTCCTATTTATATCACATCATACAACTATTCAAATTTAAAATTTTTACTATTCAAATCTCAATCCAAAATACAAACCCCCCCAAACAAACACACTTAGAATACAGTATTTGAGGTAATATTGTGGAATTAGTGGAGATTGTAAAGTTACATATTGGAATGTATAAACATTTAATATTATATTTTGAATGTTTATTCTAAAATAGATTTTCTTTCTTTCTATGTTATATTCTTTAAAATTTTTTACTTTATTTATTAATGATAATTATTTAAAAAAATTACTCTATTCGTCTTAATTCAAAAAATATCATTTTTTTATCTGTTTTATTTCAAATTATTTTCTTCTATTTAAAAAAAAAAAGAAATCATACATTAAAATCAAAATACTCTTAATTTTTACTTAAATTACAAATATATCGTTACATATACAATTATTTTATATAGAAAATCAAAAGGCAAAAATATCAATAACACTTACATATTTTCGCTAACTAATAAAATATTATTATTTCTTAATTTACTACAAAATTCCAAAATACTTATTTTATTCGGGACAAATGGAATATTTGGTTATGATTTGAATTAAAATTTTAATATGATATTTTTGTAAAAAAATAGCTTATATTTATTAAAAATAGTATATATTTGGATATGAAATTAAAGGAAAAAAAATCTAACATTGAGAATTAATTTAAAATATTTTTTTTTTTACGTGAAATATAAAAAAATTTATTATTAATATAAATGAGAATTATAACATCTAAAATATTGTTGGGGAAAACAAACCCTAAGAAAATGTGTTCTTGTAGATAGAAATTTTCCGAACTTACTATGCCGCCATTGTTAATAGTAAATTGAGCGTCGAACTTTTCGCTAAGAAATAAAATTTAAAGGCTAAATGAGTAGATATTGACAACTTCAAAACATATAATTATAGCCCGATTTGCACAACCGTAAAGTATTTGAGCAAATTGATTATTTTACTGGCAGTATTTTACCTACGATTGTTCGTCACTTTAAGCGGTTCTACTGTTGAGACGTAAGCACACATTGATGGTCACCTCTAACCGATTGAGTCATGAGTCGACGCATTGTGCGTTCATTTTGGGGTGTTGGATCCAGATCCGTCTTCATCATATTGATTACGTCTTTCGGTTGTATGTATTCATGCATGACAGTGGATAACGCAATATACTAGTACAAACATTAATTGGTACTAGATTTAATACTTGGATCGGTGTTATTTTTTGTATATTAAACTTATCGTATGACGTTTCTATTACAATATATTCATTCATCGAATTGTTTCCTACTTTCTTTAATAGCTTTGAATCGGTTTGTTGCGCCGATTCTATTTTTGGTTATCCATCGACATGCAATCGTGCTAAATTCCAAAATTGTTACGTTGCTATGATGTGAAGGGAAAAAAAAAAAAAATCACTACACAATGCATCCGACGTTTTACTTCATATGTTTTTATTTTAATTAAGAAAAACTATATAATTTACGCTACTTTTTATTTTGTACTTCTAATTTAAATTTTATTTTATTTACTATATTAAATATTCATATCCTAACTTTTATTACCTATCAAATAAATACAGCAACGGCTACAATGTTGAATTTTAAATTCAGCACGATGTTCAAAAAAACATAGTGTGCTTTCTGATAGCACACAATATTATTACAGACAATACATTGTATATGTTAATACTTCATCCGTCCCAAAAAATTGTCTTGTTTTTTCATTTTTGTCCGTCCCAAAATAATTGTTCTGTTTACTTATTTATTAACTGTGGTCTCCATTTTATAACAAACTTATTTCTACTTTTCCAAACTATTCCTAATTATTACTCTAACTTACTTTTTAAAATCTCTAAAAAAAACAGGGGCATTTTAGTCTTTTACATTCTATTTTATATCCACTTTCAATTAATATTACTCCCTCAGTCCCATATTTATCTATCTGTTTAACTTTTTTACGGAGTTTTATAAATATTAGTATTATATTTAGATGTAGTAGAAATAAAGGTAAAGACTAAACTAATCTTATTAGTATTGTATGATATAAAGGTAATAACATTTGTGTAATATATTGTAAATTAAAATAATATTTGTAATGTTAGTAGATAGTGCCGTTAATAAAAAAAATAGATACTTTGTTAAAGGACGGACCAAAATAGAAAAATATATAAATTGTTCAGGGACGAAGGAAGTATTATTTCTTAATTCTCGTGCCAACTCCCAACAAGATGTCTCTTTTGGGACGGAAGGAGTATAGTACATACAACATATGCTATAATCTTATACAATACAAATAACAGTTGATTTTAACGAATGATATATTCTTCTACAGTATACATATAGTAATTATAAACAAATAACACATGTCTTTATTACAATGTGTTATTTGTATATATTATGGATGCTCACATTGCTTAATTTTTTAAATCAACACCATAATCATTCCCAATAAATACACATCAAAACTTCTAAAATTTAAACAAACCTACTGACTTAAAAGTATACAACTTTGCAAAACTTTTTTAAAATTCAAATCTAAACCAAATATTCTCAAACTTTTCCTAAGGAAACACACCTATAATTTTATTTTTTTTAAATCCAAAGTTTATATCTAGAAGAAGCCAAGGTTGTTTTTGTTCTGTGAGATTTGGAAATGAAAAGATTTTTATGTGAAGCAGAAGAAATTGTGTAAAAAATATAAAAATAATGATTATATGTAATGTAATTCCTCCGTATCGCGAGAGATGAGCCTTTTTGCTAGGGATACGATATTTTAGATAGTATATATTAGTAAGTTATTAATAATAAGTTATAATATTATTATATTATTTTTTATATGAATAGTATTGTTGGTAGTTTAAATATTTAGAATTATATCTCAATAAAATATATGCAATATGAATATCATTTTGTGTATAAATAAATTTTATATAATACAAATAAATAAAAAATATATATTTAGTTATTTATAATTAACATAAAATTAATTTTATAAACAATGACAAGTTATAAATATATATATAAATGTTTATTTATTGAAGGAAAGATAGAAATAAAAAAGTTTTGAATGGCTCCTATATCTAATAAATTAAAAATTAAATTAATTAATATTTATTAAATATATTTTAGATGAATAAATTTATTAAAAATAGAACTAAGTCAATCTTTACGGACAAAAAAAAAAATGTATCATTTGTTACTATTACCGGATGTAAGGAATATTAATGTGTAGGAGATAATAATAATAGAAAGAACAAAGTCCAAATCTTTCCACCTAATAATAATAATAATAATAATAATAATAATAATAATACCCAAGATATGCTCTAATAAATTGTAATATCAGCATAATTTCAAAATACTCATTTTAGCCAGATAAATAGATATTTTTATTAATATATTTTAGGGTAAACTGTTTTTTTAGTCCCGTAACTGAACCTTTTATCATTTTAGTCCCGTAAGTGAAGCATGTCGCAAACTAGTCCCATAAGTGAAAAATTTTCGCTATTTTAATCCTGCGGCGCCGGAGACGCCCACGTGGCTCGCCGGAGGTGACGTGTCCGCCAGGTGTCCTGCCAAGTCAGCGACACCTGGCGGACATGTGGATTTTTTTTTTCATTTTTTTATTTATTTTTATTTCTTTTTAATTGGACTAAATAAAAAAATTAAAAATACAAATAAAATTAAAAATAAATTTAAAAAAAATTTAAAAAAAAAATCCACGTGTCCGCCAGGTCAGCGACACGTGGCGGACACGTCACCTCCGGCGAGCCACGCGAGCGTCTCCGGCGCCGGAGGACTAAAACAGCGAAAAATTTTCACTTATAGGACTAGTTTGCGACATGCTCCACTTACGAGACTAAAAAAACAGTTTACCCTATATTTTATTTTAAATTAAATAACTAATGTTCAGTATTTATCGTGGGTCTTTTCTCTTTATATTACATTTTCATTTTTAAAATATGCAACTCTTAAATCAAAACTTAAATCCAATACTTTGACTCAATTACTATTTGTATTGTAAAAAATAAAGGAATATTGAACATTCAAACCTTTAGACATTGTTCAGTCTCCAAGGGCTTTTTTTTTTTAAAGTGTATGTATTTATTATACTCTTTATAAATTTTAAAATAAAATATACCAATCAAAATATCTGATTCATCCAAAAATTTACCTATGACACGTTCAAAGAATAAAGGCGG